CTGACAGGTCAGATATGATTTGGTAGCTGAGAAAGGACCTAGTTATTTAGCCTGGACATGATGTCCTCATGTACTGTAAGGAGAAAAAGTGGTACGAAAATTAACATGCTCGACTGCATTTAATAACACAAATGGAAAGCTATACGTGCGGTCTTTGGTCGAGCCTGAGAATGTCCACCTATACCTTCATCGGTCATTTTTTAGCATAATAATAGATAGTTTATTAATAAAATAGTTCTACCGGAAGCAGCTTACCAAATGTGCGGCGAGATTGCGATGACAATCGTGTACGAACAGCCTCGGGACCCTAAACAGAGGTGCAGTGCCGGCTTCGACGGTGGACAGTTCGCGCTGGGCAAGTGCAATGAGCAGTTTGACGATCTCTGGTAGTTGTGGGTTTGCCATCATAGAGGGTGTGGCGGACTCACGATCCAGCATAAAGACGGGAGCAAAGAGGACAGCTAAGCTTGTCTCGTTGACCTCGCAGGCAGGATCATCAGCTATGCACACCAAGAGGTGACAGAGAGGCCGATAGACAAGATTTAGATGCTGGGATGGGGTCAGTTGAAGGAGAAGACGGAGAGCCCGACGACGATAGGACTGAAGGTGGAACACCGACGAGGAGGAATGCGTGCTGGTTGCAAATACATTGGATGTGTCGGATACAGTATCACTCGAAGGTCCTGGGGACATTGTCAGCTGGCTGAATAGGCAGTGGAGGCGGGAGGGAATGAGGGGACCGTGTCTACGAAGGACTCGAGACAGTGTAGAGGCCACGGTGATCGAGTCGAAACCAGCGAGTATACTGCTTATGCGGCTGACAGAGCTAACCGCGAGAGGGCTTTCGGCGTTGGAGTGGCTGTCATCTGTGAACCCCATACTTTTCTGAGAAAACAGCAGCTTTTCCAGTTCGTTAACATGCGTTTGAATACCAGGGCGGCGGAATATAAACTTCTGACGGTCTGCAGATGTGAATTTACACAGACAGTTAAGTACCATGGCAGTTTCGTGGGATGGGATTGCTCAGTGCACATTTGTATACACATCGTTTTACATATGTTGTAAGTTTTCTGTAAGAGTTGTCAGAATGTAAATGCTCCTTAAATTTTAATTCCAGACATTGGAGACTGCTTGGGAATTAATGGTACGGGGACAAGCAAAAGCATGTTGAGTAACTTTTAGGTCACGAGGTCACATATGTGATTTGCGAAAGTTTTCATTTCTGAGAACTTACATCGACTTTCTTCGAGAAGATATTTGATCATCGCGTTCACTACTGTGTACCAGTACGAAATATCTTCTGAAAAGAAAAAAATACAAAAATTTAATAAATGCGATGTTATTTGTCAGAACCAGTATGTGAAAAATGCCCTTGGACGAGTATATTAATTTTTTTTAAAACAGACTACTTGCCTACGTTCAAGCTGGTGTTCAGACCAGCATACTTTGAAAGACAATTCTGTTACTACTTATCTACTATTTTGAAAAGCCCAGCTGACAGTAACATGCAGTAATTTGGAACCTTGTGATAGGAACTGTTTACTTCCGCATATCTGCGCGTTCGTCCGCTAGCTCGACTAATAGATGTTTTAAACATAAAAACGAAAAAGTTTTTTTCCGCTTTCTAAAACCCAAATAAGACGTCTGGTGATCTACCTCGAGGTGCTCTTCCGTTACCGCGAATGGACATCAGGTTTGCTCTTCGGATGGGTGTAAAGACTGAGCGGGTCATCGGGGAGGCGCATCCGCGAACACTCGTAAGTGTGAACTCCTGGCAGCCAACCTCATCGGCAATGCGAAACAGGTCGTCTGCCTGGAAATCAAGGAAGCTCAAATAGTTGGCAATCAGGTTGGTAAAGGTTCTTGGCCACCGCCGACGCAGTTCATGAAGACCGATGTCTGGTTCCGCGAGATCATGATCCAGCCGGTACACGTGGGCCGCCAGTAACGGTGGAAGATTCGTCAGGTCATCATCTAAGGCAGCGGAGCAGCAGTGTCGAGGCACAATAGGCACCGTAAGGGAGACCGAATCCCCAAGAAATTCATTTGCCTGAAGAAATAAAGGTGCATTCTTACTGAATACCCACTGGGAAGACTAACTTCGTAGGGCCTGATACGAAAGTACAATAAAGAAACCTGGCTAATTTCAGGATAGATAAACATATTTCTCCGTTACGTTACTAATCAATCGTTCTGTGGAAAAAATGATTACATCGTATGTAACAAAGGTACCTAGGCCGCAAGCAGTTAACATACGCTCGTATTAGATTTACCTGCCACCAAGTACCATTATTTAAATACTACTATCATCCACTCTGTTGCTCCAATTATTCTGTATTAATTCACGACTATAAGACGGTTGAGGGGAAGCAAACCTGTTAACGAGCCTTAAAAAGGGGCCTCTGTAAATTCGAGTTTTTAGGGCCACATTTTCCAAATTGTCACGATTTAACTCACGGGCTAAGAAGGTCGCATAAGGGGAGCTCTTTTGACGCAGGTGATCATGCATGCAAGCCAGCTTCACGATAGTTTAATGGCCCATGTCCGCGCACAAACTTCTGCAGACTCGGCAACTAAAGCCCTCATCGGCCGGCGTGAGGGCGCCCGCATGATCTTTTCGAGGGGGAAAGAAACCAAAGTCTCTTTACGACCCACTTTTGCTTTTTCCTCCCCTCACTGCCCCCATCCCTTCCCCTCACAGGCCTTTTTGCCGTCACGGTCCCGCATCAGTTTCAATCGGACGGGGGCGGAGGTGAAGACAAGGGGGAGGACACCTAATCCATATAATCACCCTATATTTACTTCACACCTGTTTGCTCCCAGCTTTCTACTGACCCGCCCGAGCTGCGCCATTGTTGCTGGAGTGCCATCGATTAAAGTAACGAGTTTAAGGCACCAAAAATGGTACAGTAGAATACAATATCCTTTGGATTGTCTCCTTCATGCTTTTCAGTTTCTGCACGTCTCAAATCTCAACATTAACCTTTAGTAATAAAATTGTAAAAATTCCCATCAGATAATTCGGAAGAGCAGTTGGTACTAACCCATATTCCCTAAAAACCACATATTCCATACACTGACGCGCTGAAAACTTCGCGTCTCGGGTGATGCCCTAATCTCGAAATATTCCGAGCGGAATCGATCAGTCTCTTTTAGGGGATTAAGCACGCTTCATTCTACTGGTGATTCTGCGCTAACTTCCAGCGGGGCTAACCATTCTAGGATCATCACTTTAGCCATAACCCTACAACTGACCTTCCTAATTCTAAATATGATCCTTCTAGTCTTTAAGCTAATCCCAAACCTAACCGCGTGCTGAACTTTAAAGTGACGCTTATAAATGGGTGTTCTGAAAGTAAGTTGAGGTAGTACACAGTGAAAACTGGCGATCTATTGAAAAAAAACAATATAGTATCATAAGCCCTACCACTTCGAGATGGAAAAATGGTCTTTAGTGAACTTCTAAGGAAGTTCATGCAACTTAGTTTGCAGACGAAACCGGTTTTCCAGCTTATTGACATATCAACAATTGAAATGCATTTTTCAGTCGCAGTACTACCGACGTCGACCAGGCCGATCTGGCTAATACGCTAAGTATTCAAAACCATCCCATATACAAGGAGAATAGCCTTTTTCGATTTTCTGATACGTTTGGTCGGAATCACTTAAAGGCTCCTCGTCCCCCTTTCCCATCGACAAGAAACGGGAACAGGCACCTGCCTCTCCCTTTAATACAAACAATCTTGGTCTAACTTACAGGAAGGGTAAATATTTCTGGATCCTAACTTCCCTACTTAAGCCGCAGCCGTAATCCCAAACCCTACTCCTAATCCTAACTCCAGTCTTAACCCTAATTTGTCTGAAATTTTGCGCGAAGCCACCCACATTACTGGTGGTTCCTGGTTCCAGGTCCTGCCGCGGAGGCCAAATAAGTGCTTCCCATCAAACGCTTTCCCCACCGAACACGGCTTATTAATGTCTCCACTGAAGTTTCAGCACAATCTTGTTCTTCACCAAACAGTCCAGTTTTCATTCAGATATGGATCCAGACAGCTGATTGTTAGGGACTGTCATCGGTTGGCACTACACTGGTGACCAGTAAGAGCATAGGCACATTACAAAGGTTACTGCTCGGTAGGTGCCAGCTGTTGGTTAGGAAGCGGTTTGGCACAATAGGTGCCCAGGGTAAAATGCGAACGTGGTTATTTTACGGGATGTCGACTTACCGATGACTTGGGCCATTCACCAGACTTGTCGGAGGCTTGTCGTCGCTGCGCCTGTGAAACCAGTTCCCGTCTGTTTGTTAAGTCGTCGACGGAATGGCTGCGTCGCGAACTCTTCAGACGGAAAGGAGCCAGCGCATTCAGAACACGTTGCAGTTTTCGTTCAGAAGAGCGTCGACGCCAAGGGCAAGCAAGGGGTGACGCGCGGCGTTTACGTGACGCCAAATCCAGTGAACTTTCGTCAAGTGAGGAGTCAACGAAAGACGGCGGTGGGTGGGAATCGGTTTGACTCGCCATCTGTTTATCGGTCTACTTTTGCTGGGTTCAACGAGATCGCGTCGCAAATTCTGCGTGTGCACGTCTACCAAGTAAGCGT